GGCGTGGGGGCAGCTGCGCTACTCGGTGCCCGAGGAGGTGCCCAAGGGCTCGTTCGTGGGCGACGTGGCCAAGGACCTGGGGCTGCAGATGCCGGCGCTCCCAGACCGCGGCGTCCGCATCATAGACAGAGGTAGGAGGCAGTATTTTGCTCTGCACGGGAAGACGGGGCACTTAGTGACGGCCGAGAGGATCGACAGAGAGCAGCTTTGCCGGCTGGTGGAGAAATGCGTGCTGCGCTGTGAGCTGATAGTGGAGGGAGAAATGAAGGTTTACCCAATTGAAGTGGAAATCATGGACATTAATGACAATGCGCCCGCTTTCAAGGATATTGAGCTGGAACAGAGAATAAGCGAGACGACAGTCCCGGGATCGCGGTTTCCTCTGGCTGAGGCTCACGATCCGGACTTGGGACAGAATTCCCTGCAGAGCTACGAGCTGAGCGGCGACGAGCACTTCTCGCTGGCCGTGCAGACGGGCCCCGGCGGGGATCAGCGTCCCGAGCTGGTGCTGGCGAAGCCTCTGGACAGGGAAGAGGCGGCGTTCCACGAGCTGGTGCTGAGGGCGAGCGACGGCGGCGACCCGTCCCGGACGGGCACGGCGCGGATCCGCGTGACGGTGCTGGACGCGAACGACAACGCGCCCGTGTTCAGCCAGGCGGAGTACACGGTGCGTGTGCCGGAGGACATGCCCGTGGGCTCCACCCTCGTCACTGTCACGGCCACCGATCCCGACGACGGTCTCAATGGGCACGTGAAATATTCGTTGAAAACAATCACAGTAAAAGCCTCGGAGATTTTCCAGCTGGACGCCGAGACTGGGGAGATCACGCTGTTGCGAAGCCTGGATTTTGAGGAGAGCGACTCGTACGAACTGGATGTGCAGGCACGGGACGGCGGCAGCCTGTCAGTCATAGCGAAAGTTGTGATCGCCGTGACAGACGTTAATGACAACGCGCCAGAGATTTCGGTGCGGTCGGCGCTGAGTGAGATTTCTGAGGACGCCCCATCGGGGACAGTGGTGGCCCTGCTACAGGTGCAAGACCGGGACTCAGGAGCCAACGGCGAGGTGCGCTGCTCCCTGGATGGGAGCCTTCCGTTCCGGCTGGAGAGCTCGCAGGGCAGCTACTACCGCGTGGTGACAACGAGAGAGCTGGACCGGGAGCAGGAGTCGGAGTACAACGTGACGGTGCGGGCGGCCGACGGCGGTCGTCCGTCGCTGCAGAGCAGCAGGGTGCTGTGGCTGCGGGTGCTGGACGTGAACGACAACGCGCCGGTGTTCTTGCAGGAGCGCTACAGCGCTCGGCTGTCGGAGAACAACGTGGCGGGCGCGCTGGTGCTGCGGGTGCGGGCGACGGACTCGGACTGGGGGGAGAACGCGCGCGTGCGGTACCGGCTGGGGGAGGGTGGTGTGCGGGGCTCGGCGCGTTCTCCCCCCAGTCCGAGTCCGTCGCCCGCACCCGCAGCACCAGCGCGCCCGCCACGTTGTTCTCCGACA